TACAGAAACATATTTTCCTGCAAAAATTAATATTTAAAAATCTCTAGAAACACAATAGCACTAGAAAAGGTGTGAACAATTTCCCCATTTACCTCCTTGAGGTACAATATAAACATCAAAAGGTAGTTAGAGCTTGTTTCAAAAGTAACAGAACTATTGATTCCAGTTGTATGGCTGGTGAAATAAGAACTTGGCTGCTGCTTGTCAAACAGTGAGCTTTTGGATCAGAGGCATGCCGGCAGAACTATGTCTCGCTTGGTAGTGGACAGGCCTGTTTCCATTTTGCTTAAATCGTTGGCTGTCTGTTGCACTCTGCTAGTTTTATGAAACTTGTCGGCTGTGTGCAATAGTAGCAGAGGCTCCAGCTGATTAGCACTTCCTTCAATAGCAAAATGTCACTGAGGCAGTGGGAATATATTGTGGTTAATAAGCAAAATGCAGCCAGACACACTTTAAGTGGAATATAAGGAAAGATGAATGGATGAGGTGGTTGATGATGGCTAACTTGTTTTAAGATTTATAGTGGAGGGCTTGTTTTCCATTTAGTACACGTAGTCTATTCAAATATGTTTTTCTTTTCCAGTTTCTCAAAGTTGCCAAAAGAATAAATCCCCCCCAATAGTTTTATATGATAAATATGGCGCAAGACTGTTTGAATTTTTCTATCACTGGTTTGTTTTGGTTTTGGTTTCTTTTTTTTGAAAAATGAAATGTTAGTTGGATTTTTCCAGGGATATCCAAACTATGCCAGAAGTCCAGCAGTTGCTTCTAATATGCATACATTTTAGCTGTAGCATTTGGTCCTGCTTTCAGTGCAGAAGTGGGACCTCTGAAACATGCAGGTTGTGTTTTTTAACAGTCCATCTCTACCCACCAGTGAAGCAAATAAAACTGAGCATTTCAAGTAGGTATTTTAATCTCTGTAGTGCAAAGTTTGCTATGGTGAAGCGGTTAAACTCCATGGATCATGCTTGGCAGAGGATAGATTCATTATATTTGAGTGTTTTTAAATTAATTTGAATTTCTTTTCCTTTAAGTTTTCTTTGAAATGTACAGCTTAATTCTTAGTGCATTTTCTTTTCAAATGTTCACCAGGCTCAGTCTCAAGGAGCAATTACATTTAAAATTATACCTACTGTGAAGGAAGAAATGCCAGTGAAGGAAGGCAAGGTAGGCAAGACTATTTCAGAAGCTATTGCAGTAACTGTTAAGCTAAGGATATATATAGTTTGCTTGGATGACAGAGCCAAGAATGTGATTTATGCCTCCGGACTCAGTTTTTCTAATGTGACAATATGTAGCACACTGTACACTTCAGTACTCACATGCTGTATTTACAAGTGGGTGTAACGTTGTTCTTAAGCCCTAACCCTACAACTGTGAAGTTGGCATAGGTAATCTTCCATCTTCTGCGAGGACCTGACTTGCTTCCAACTACCCCTTGCCTTCCATCGTACACTGGGTAGAAGACACTTGATAGCACCTTGGTTCAAAAGTGTCTTCTCTTCTGTTCCCCATATGGTCACACTGTTCACCTGCAAAGTCCTATTTGCCTTGGATCACAGAGCCTTTACTGCATCGGGGTTGCAGTTGCAGAAGCAATGAATTTAACATTCCCATATGAACTTCTAATGTTAGACATCCATAAGGATGTTTTACAGCAGTAAATGTTTATTGCTTTACATTATTTAGTTCAGTGGTTTTGAACAGTAAAAGCAAAAAAGGGAGATACTTTTGGATTACATTTAATATTTGAATTCTAAAGATAAAACATGTTTTGTTTCAGATGTTTATCAGAGCCCTATTTGACTATGATCCTAATGAGGATAAAGCAATTCCTTGTAAAGAAGCTGGACTTGCTTTCAGAAAAGGAGATATCCTTCAGATCATGAGCCAGGATGATGCAACCTGGTGGCAGGCCAAACACGAAGGTGATGCCAATCCCAGAGCAGGTTTGATCCCTTCAAAGCATTTCCAGGAGAGGTGAGCTACTGAGAAGCATAGTTTCATTATTTTTTGTAGTAAGAGAAGACACTTACTTGCCGAGTTGTTAAGTTAGCATAGTTGTCATATGTAATGCTTATAGATTACATGGGTGTAATAAACCTGCATTTGCAGTAAGACAACTGAACTTGGAAACCTGTTGCTGAAATACTTTGGATTTCCTTATTTGTCTGGCTAGTATTAATAATGACAAAAACTGATAGGATAGCACTGATCCAGATTGAAAGAAAAAGCATATGGAAAATAGCACATCAGTATCTGTATTCACACTGATGTACTATGCAGGAATAAGAACTGCAGCAGGTTTTGGAGAGCTTACAAAAATTTGAGGCTGAGGATTTAATTTTTTTTAGATTGTGAATAGATTGCATTGTTTTAAGTTAATTTCTTGTGAAATCTTTGGATATTTTGCAATAGTATCATGATGTTAAGTGTTTATTAATCCCACACTTGCAGTGAAAACTGAGGAGTTTGTGTCTTTCCCCTGCCACCTCCCATTTTATAGGAGATTTGCACTAAGAAGACCAGAAGTGCAGATTCAGCCACTGAAAATTTCCAACAGAAAATCATGTAAGTCTGTTAGCCTGGAATAGAAATCATACTCCAGATCTCTAACATTATAAAATAGCAGTTTATTTCAGCCCTGTGACTACAGGATGCATTTCTTCTGGGCACAATAGCTTCTTGATCACTATGTATCAGTAGCAAAATAAGTATGAGAGCTGAAATTAAAAGCTTTAAAAGCAGCTAACAATTTTTCCCAACCCTCTGACTTTGTTTTTGAAACACTGAGACCAATTAATGTTTTGATATATAATATTTCAAAGGTTGAAAATTGTTCTTTTCCTGTTGAGAAGAACAGGATTGGCTCAACAGTTTATATAATTTGGACTGCATCAATACAGTGAAATTTATATTGAGAGTGAGATAAAAGGTCAGATGCTCTCCCCTTCTCTCCCCCATAGAGTTGGTGATTTTTTATGTCCTATGAAGCAGGACAAATTTTTAAAAGCCAGGACATTCAGTTTTTTGACAGGCTTTCACAGAACCACTTCTCACTGTTTTTTAAACAAATTCATTCTGAATAGTCTCTGCTTTTAAATACAGTAGTTGCACAATATAAGAAAAATAAGCTCTAAGAAAGCGCATACATTGAAACAAATATTTTCTTTCCACTGGAATTTACATCAACATCTGTTTTAAGTATTATTGCATATTTTACTTGACCTGTTATTTCTTTCAGTTGTACAGACTCATAACAAAGTGAGTACAATGTAAAAAACTATCATGCTCCAGTAGGATCTAAATCTTAAATACAAACATGTTTGTGAGTTCAACTAGAAATATTCAGAAAGTGGTCTAAAATTTCCAACCATCTTTGATTCTTTAACAATAAACCAAAAAGTATGGATACTATGGCAAACAGTGGATGCTGGCACACTAAGTGCAAAACTTTAGAACTTCTCACCGAGATTTCTATTGCAATTTTCCTAACTCCTTGCTATGGCTTTTGTGTTCTGATCTTTGACAATTACTGTTTTCTAATAATCTGCATTTTTTATCTTTTATTCCATTCCATTGCACTATTTGATTGTGTGCCCTAATGCTATTGTTAACTCCAAAGGCCTTGATTACCTTTGTAATTACAATAACAGACTATATGATTGCACTATAGCTTTTCTAATTTACATAGATCTTACAAACAAAGAGGAGCTCCTCCAGCTTGTAGTAAATCTGTTGTTTTTCTAGGTTCTAGGTCAAGTTGCTCTGCCCCAGTTTTGGAAAAGTGTCTGATCCCAGGGTATAGCTATTTCTCTCTGCCCACTGTTCTTGAATCTGGATAATACCCTCAGCAAGAGCCTTCAATTAAGGTGGCACTGGTGCTTTTGAAGAGGTAAATCAGCTGCTGCAGCAACACTGCATGATTCCTTTTGTAATGGACTGCATCTTTTTAGTGACCTTCAAGTGAAAGGTTTTACAAGATGCATCTCACCCTTCCAAACAGGCAGCCTCAACTTGGTTGGGAATTGCCAAAATTAAAACCCAAAGAAGACCCACAGTACAATGTCTACTACTGTTGTCTCTGCTGTTTCCACTGACTTTGCCTTAACTAGCTTAAACAAGGGAGAAGAGTTCCTCTTCCTCCCCTTTCCTTTAAAACATGACAGAGCCTTAGGGTCAAGCAGTATGCCTATTACCATTCTCTTTTAGATGTTCTTTAAACAAAGCAAGGTCCAGCTAAATACCATCTAGAAGGCAGTGGTGCCTCTTGAAGGAGGAAAGACTGCAGAGTAATGTAGGTTTGTCATTTTCTCTCTTCCCCATTTCTTAGGACAATCTGCTGCTACATCTGCCAGATTTCCATGGGAAGAGGGGAAGTCCTCTTCTGAGTAGAAGTCCATCCCTTCATTCAAAGACCTAACATGTTTTTAGTGCTGGGAGGGAATTCAAATCCTTCATAGAGGAGGCATTTTAAGGACCAGAATTCAGCTGGTCAGAATTCACAAAAAAATGGTGTGACTAGGATGTTGTTCAAGTTGCTCCCAGGAAAACCTTCCACTTGCTTGGCTTTTCAAGAAGATTCCTCATAAGCTGGGAAACTCCACACCTTTGTGATCTTTCTAAAGTTAGGCAGCTTTTTAATGTTGCCAAGCACAGCAGTGAAGCTGTGAGATGTGGAGGCCATGTCTGTATTTGTGCAGAGCAATCACCTTGCCAAAACTGGGAGATGCTGGAAAATCACGCATTGCTCAGCTGAACAAACAGCATACTACCAGTATCAGAAATATGTAAGGAAGGTGACATAGAGAACAGAAAATTGGAAAGGACTGCTGGTCTGATTATTTTTTTTTTTTAGCCCTTTTCTGTATTGTGTGGTATGGACCACTGATTATTGTCCTCTAAAGTTTTATTTAACAAGTTCCCATGCAAAGAGGTGGGAAATTGGTAATGCTTGATTTCGTCTGATTCTTTTTTAATCCCATACTACAGGCCTTCAGCTTGATAGGTTTGGAAGGGTAGTTGTGTGGCGAAACCGATGTTCTATAGATCTTCCTGAACTAGCTGTATATTGAGAGGTTGCTTGCTATTGCAGTTGATCCTGTCCAATTCTATGACCTGAATTTCCTTAGCAGTTTGGAGGGAAAGGGCAATTTGCCAGGTGATTTTGTTATAGCTTCCCAAAGATGAAAACCTGTTGACTTCAACAGAGCTGCCAATAAAAGTCCCTTTCCTGACAGGACTGGGTGTTGCACTAGGAAGTTTTCTTGAGATGTGGTAAGTAGCACTGGATGTTGGCCTGCTCTGTTCAGTCAACACATGCCGCAGAGCCAATGTTTTCTAACGAGGAAGAAACCTGGGTACATGCCTTTGTTTTTAATAGGGAGAATCAAGGAGAAATATTCTATTTTCTTGGATACCCAGAAAATCTGAGTCAACTCCAGTTTCTTAGGTGGGCTTCTGAGGTGGTAGTTTCTTTCTACTTGAAAATTAATCTAAAAATTAGTCAAAATTGTATAACATACGAGAAGTAGCCTAAAACTTCTTTTTTCCTCTCTTCTCAAGCGAGTTCTGGAACTGGGAAGGACTGTTGTTTGTGTCTAGAAAAAGAGCTCTCTGAAGCATAGTCAATAACTGTATTTACAGTAACATTAACATCCATCAGCATTTTCTTTGGTAATTAAGTATGTGTCAAAACCTGCAAGGAGCTAGATTGGATTACTTTTGGGAAGCCTTCTTTCTGTTTCCCATTTTGAATTTTTTACTCTTTTCAGCATAGCAGTGTATGTTGTATAAGTTGTTAATCTGTACACATATTTCTGTTTCATAAATTCGGAAGCAAAATAAAAGTGGGCTTTTTTGGTGATGCTTGTATGTATACACATATCAAGGAAAGAAAGTAAAGGATGCTTTCCATAGAACTTTTTCAGCAAAATTATTTGCACTGAAAAAACCCAGAAACCCAACCTAATTCTAAATTATTAAAAGGATCAGTTTATAACGGAAATGCGAATTCTTAGTTTGACTTTAATAGCCAAGTCATCTGTTTCATCGTATCTGTGTGTAAAGTGAATATAAATACAAGTAAATGTATTAGCTTTGTGGAAGATACATACACACACCTCTCCCAACATTTAGCCATTTTCTTAAAAGACAAAACAGAATCATTCTCACATTGCACCAGTCAAAGTGAAAAACCTTTAACATGTCATGTGTACAGTGGAGGAGGGGGCAAAACAGTGTACACTACATATTGAACAGTAAGAGAAATCACACTTTTTCATTTGCAAATGAGGAACATGCATAGTTTGATGGTATCTGGGAGTAAGTTCAAAGGAAACTGATAATATAAGTGCAGCCTACACTGACAAGAGATGGTTTTACATTGAGAGGGAGACACAGAAAAAGTAGGAATAAAGAAGTAAAGGGAAAAGCAAGGAAGTGAGATTTTGTATTGAGGATGAAGAAAAGGAGAAAGTGTTGCAACAAGGGTGATGGACGAAAGCTGCCCATAAACCCCATTAGGCAAAACCCCAAAGAGGATGGGCTTTGAAATTATTAGATTAACGCAATTAACAGTATTATGCAAGAGCATTACTATAGTCACTATTTGCGCTATAGTTCAGTTGTTTCTTGATTTTGTTTAAATCAAACACTTAACATATTTGTTTTGTTAAGGTTTTTGAAACGGTGAATGCAAAAATTACTAATAGCAACTCTGACCTGTTTTATTTTGCTATTATTGGTAAAAACCTTGATAAGTTCAACATTAATATTTGATAAGTTTTAAAAGCATGAGATAAGTGGCAGTTACATGTGCTGACCCGCTGATAACGTTGGTAGTGTTACTTCCCACACTCTGGGTTGGTGCAGAAATGATGGAGAGATAACAAACCTCTCAAGCATTTTTCTCAATATGTAACAGCAAATGACTTTTCAGCAAAAAGCAGCATTGTGCTATGGGAAAATTATACTGGGGAAAAATTATAAGAAAAAGCAGCATAGAAAAGAAAATAAGGAAATGGAATGAAAGTAAAGGAACAAAAATGGATGAGATTGCGTGAGTAGGACTAACCCTCCGCGTGCTGGGATGGTGAACATGCAGTATACGTGCAGAACGTGACACGGGGTGTGAGGGAGCTCCGTGGGTCACAGAGGGACGTACAGTAGAGGTGTGTCTGGCTGCATGCAATCAGCTTTGGTGTATCTGAGCTTGTGAGCCACTGCTGAATGCCAGCTCCACAGAAACCTGCTCACCTTCTATTCCTCAGTAATTCTTCACAAGATTACTGGCTTTAGGAGGTCACCTTAGCTTGGGCACAACTTTGTAGCCGGACTTGGCTTTGTGAGTTCTCCTGTTGCTGCATCCTGGCTAGTTAGGAGTGATGTGAGACTCCATATGGGGAAGAATTCGTTTGTTTAATAGCTCCCAGTCTGTTAACTTGAATACAAAGACTACTCATGCTCTGACTGTAATAGTCATTGCCAACAAACATGGTCATTCTTGCATTTGTAGCTTACTTTAATTCATAGATAAAACAGCGATCACCTGTTTTTTTGAGAGATGAAAA